TTAAGACAAGAGGAGTATTTTTTTTATTATTATTGTAAATTCAACAGAGAAATACGAACATACAAACACTTCTACATCCAACTACCAAACCAAAGTTCAATAGGAAGGAATTACAAAAGAGCAAAAGAAAGTAAAGGGTCTAAAGCAAGCAATTGAGCTAAGAGAGATTGTAATGTGCTTTGTATGTTTTTTTTTTTTTTAAATAATATTAGTTTTTCCAAAATTATGTCTAAAATCATATCTTCAATTAATGTAATGATAGTTGTTTATTCGACATTCAGTCTTCTGTAGGTCTGTTATCAGATGTCGATCTACAGGTCATATTAAGTCTCTTGGAATGTAAAACTTTGTGCACAGAAGGATTCAGTCGCCTGTGCTGATTGTTTCCAAGAAATGTTGGCATGGGGCACTGAATTGAGAGTCCTTTGCTCACCTTCTAAGTCTGATTACTGTGCACCTTTCTTACTTCTTACACTGTTAGCTGAGGTTATATCAAGGGCATCATTAATCACATCAACATGCTGGAAACCTGGTCTAAGCAAGCCATTACTTACTTGTTCAGCCCTGATAGTAACACATAGTATGTGTAACTTTAAGGAATGCTTTATGCAGATATATCTTAGTACTGTTCACCCAAACAAAAGAGACGCGGCTGTGAACCCAACGGGGGGCTAGACTGCTATTGGTTCTTTGGCTGGTATGACATGCAGCCCAGGAATGTGCCTGTCATTACAGGCACCTCACGGTTGGCCTCTCCTGGCCCTGTGTTAGCGGCTGATTGAGATGCGTTCTAAAGAAGGCCTTTGTGCAGACACTCAACAGCCAAACGAATAACTGACTCCCATGCAGCCAAAACTGTCTCATTGTGTCCAATATTACATTGAACGAACTGCAGTTTCCATTAGAGGGAACAAAGGCAGATGGTTCAGATAAGATCTTTTTGGACTTAGCGCTTAACATCTCTCCTTAAACACTTATTCTTGTCTCCTTAAAAAACAAACAAATGGCTAAATGGTTTTAGAATGGTTTCGCACTCTGGAATAAGATCTTTTAAAATGTACAAATCTTTTTGGGAACCTTTACGGGAACATTAATGCCTAGGAATGGACTCCTGTCTGGAATGCAGGGATGAGAAGACGCCTTACAATAGATCATTGTGAAAGATTTCGTAAAAGCCCGCCCATCAGGCATAAATCAAAACAATTCTTCTGTAATCTTCTTGCCTGTCACCAGACCACTTGTTTTTATGCCAAGAAAAGTTTTAATCGAGCTCAAAACTTTGTAGGTCAAGCTCTAATCACAGTCAAGATTCACTCTTGAGAGTGTGCAATTTGCAAAACTAACAGGTTGATTATTTGAGATCCCTAACCTTGCTTTAACCAGATGTCCTTTGTCAGAACTGAAGTGATCTACCAGTCACATGGTGAGTTTCGGGGGTTGGGAGGGTTTATAGCTTGAGTTCAATGGTCGTGGTGACGTCTAGTGCCTTCAGCGAGTGGGAATCGGAAAACTCTGGTGTCGTGTAGTCCAGAGCCACTACTTAATATTCAGTACTGAACCAATCGGTCTTCTGATCTTTTCAGAATTCAATAAAACCCTTTTTCTTTTAAAGTGTAATTCTGTTGTTCGTTGTCTCTTTGGTTTTGCTCCACTTGACAAACCAGTGCACTTAAGACTTTACAAAAATCAAGCTGTTGCCATAGTAATAGAAGAAACAGAGGACCGCTGCACAAGAGGGGTTCAACGAGAGCATTTGGCCCTCTCGGTTTCTCATTAGCATACTATCCCTGAGCCAATAAGGAGACAGAAGCTATTAGATTGCTTCAAGGAGACTGGCTATGACAACAGCCCCCTCCCCCCTTACTTCCCAGGGTAAAATCACCATAATCCCTGTTGAGATCTGCCCTGACTGCAACAGTCACACAGGCATTGGAAGTAGATATGAGAGTGTTTGTGCTAAGGCTCCTATGATCAGATCTCTACATGGGGTTCCTCAAGGATACCTTTTTCTGTACTTTTTCATATGGAACACGTGGATGGTTGAAAAGACTCACACTGCGGTCTGGGACCGGCCGTCCTTGGAGGGCCCTTTGTCCTGGCCTGTCTTTGATGTGAATGTGGAATGCACTGCCTGGGGAGTCCACTGGAGCAAACCCGGACTCTCAGTACCATTTTATCCAACAAAGCGTCTCAAGTCTGTTTGGCAAACTTGCTTGCTTGAGGGATTGTTTGGTGAGTTTATAAGTTTACGTCTTGCTGTCTGTTTTTGTCTGCTGTCTGTGTCTCACACCTGTTGTTGTTCCTTTGCTTCTGTTTCTCTTAGTATTTGTTTAGTCTCATCTTATTTTACTGTTTGTGAAATTAAAGCTTTGGTGCAGCTTGTCCCTCAGATGACTCAGGCCATGTGTAAACAAGTAGATAGTATGTTAAAACTCGACCTCGTGGCACCTGTTGCATTTTATCTTTGCAAACCAAAACCAACTTTTGATGGATTTCAAACCCTATCAGACGCTATACATATATATTAGTAAACAATAGCTTTTTTCACTTTCAAAAGCTTGCTAATCTTTCATGTTGGTGGCTTTTTAAGATTTTTTTTTTCATGTTAGTGTGGCCTGTGAATAAGATTTGAATGTTAACTCTTTAGCCAAGCAGATTTGAATCGGAGCTTTTGATTGGTGGTTGTCTTTTCAGTAGTGATTTGTTTGTTTTTGAACATGCCTTGTTCTGAAAACATCGGTGGGGACTTTCCCCTCGGAACCCCCCTCCTTGGCCTCCATTCCGCCTGGGCGCCGCTGATTCAGACCACTGGCATATCTGTGCTAGACCAGCTGTAGCCCTGACAATACATCTAATAAAGAGAGTGCCATTAGCATCTGAATAGCCAGCACCATGTGTGGCGAGCACATACACACTTGAAACTTTTACACGGGAACTGACAGACGGCATCATTGAGAGAGAGCACAGGGTGTCTTTTGGCCACTCTGCTCATAATTTGCCGTTTAATCTGTTCTGTTATCTTTTAAACCTGTGACATGGATGTACATGGACATCTTTGTTTTAGACAATATCAGCTTGGTTAGCCAAATATGGTTTAAACAAATGTTTTGGGGTCAAGGATATTTGGGTTAGCAATAGCATAGTAGTTTTTATATTCAAAGAATGTCTCTTAATGTTTACTGGCTAGTCGGTGACTGGTACTTGACCTCATGGTCTAATCTAATGGAGTAGCACTACATGTCTTTGATTGACTGCTATTCTTACCCCTCCTGTCTAATGGAGTCTCACTAGACTGTTGGAAAATCTTGAAGATGGATTTCTGTTTTTACAATCCTATCACTAAACTACTGAACAACTGAATTTCAGAAACGACAGGAATGTTTTGACTCGCAAAACTTAAAGGTCACAGGTCAGGTGTGTGGAATCTAGTTTGCGGCGATACTATGGAATGTTTCATGCTAAACTCACTGATGCAAAGCATGTGGCATAAAGGTTTTGAACATCTCATTCACAGATCCTGGAAAGAGGTTGCGATATTCATTTTGTTAATGAATCTTCTTTCTTTCTTAATCCTTTTTCTTTAATCGTTCTCACTTTTACCCTTTTATTTTATGGCATACCTCGTCACTTGGAATGGTAGTGTTAAACATTAACCACAAGATGTCTCCCTGTGTCCACTATTCACACCAAGTGATTGTTTGTATGCAAGATCTCTGTAGGCTGTTGCATGAATCCAGTTTCAGTAGCTACTCGGATAAGTTTAAAATTAGTTTGAGCAAACTCAGTTTTTTCAGGCTGATGAAGGTGGATTGTTTTTAGCGGGTTTCATCGCATAGTAACTTACTCTACATGGCTAACCTGCTCTGGAGCAGTTTTTATTGTTGGAGATCGGAGACCTACATGTAAACTGGATCAATCAGCTGCGAGTAAAGTGACATGTCTGATGCAATAAAGCAACTCCTTCTCCCTCTGTATCTCTGTAACTGCTCCAAATTAAAGCCTTTAAGATTGAAAGAATTTGAGACAAAATTGCCCATCTTTTTCTGCTATTATATATATATATTTATAATAGCGAGCTTTAATATTTCAGAGGCCTTTAACAGATTTATGTATTACGTGTATTCTTGAGCTCTTCGTGAAACTATATCAATTATTAAGGACTATTTGTTTGATTCACTTGCATTTATATAGTCAGATGCCTTCTCAAACTTTCGCTGCAGGGGCAGTGTTTGTTCCTGCCTTGTAAATGCATTTAATTTTATGATACTTTTTCATAAATATGATCTCTTAATCTTTAGAAAAGAAGTAAATTGCGTGGCTCACTCGCAATAAGTGAATCAAACTGACGCTCTCCATATTCCATGTGATTGGCTGTTTGCCGCAAGTGTCGAACTTTCAGGTGCACACATGCTTCAGCATTTATTACAAACTCTGGATTAAAGCTGAGTTAACAAATAACGTTTTATACTGAGCGGTGTGAGCCCGTTGAACCTGATCTAAACTCTAAACCGACTGTAAAACTGAGGGGGGTTTTTTTCAGCTAGCTTCATGCAACAGGCCTATGGTCAGTATGTTACAGTATGGGCATGATGAGAGAGAAACTAATCTTTTTTTATATATTTTTCTAAGATTTTGTATTTTTAAACTCTCTCAGTGCTGGCACTGGTGTTTTTCTGAATGAACTTATTGCTTCATTTATGTGGATTGTCTCTTTTGGCAGTGTATTTTCTTGCAGTATAACATTTCATTATAACATTTTGTGGTTGTTTTGTCTGAATTGGTTATGTTTTTTTTTTTATGCAGGGCTATATTTGTGTTTGTGTTCCTGCATATAGTGATTGACTAATTACAGACAGTGTTGTGGCCCATGCTAGTATGTCTGTATTTTTCCCTTCACAGAGATGGCTTTTTTTATGTCTCAATTTGAAATAGAGCACTAGAGTCCCCTGAACTCGGAGATTCAGACTATATGTTTCCCTCCCCCTTTTAACTCCCTTCAGGAAAATGAAAATGGTGGATATTGTAGTACAGAAAATGCCATCAGAGAGCGACGTGCATATGGCCCGGAACTTTCTCACGAAGATTTTACGAAGTTCCATGAGGTATCGTATCAATGTTCTCCACAAGAAAACCCACTTCCTTCCCTGTACCACCCAGTCTAGTAATGATGATCTACAATCATTTTCCTTCCATGGCCTTGTGAAATCATCCATCAGAAGTTCAAATTTCCATCCATTAGTTTTCAACCATGCATACGCTCTTCATTCTTCATTCAGGGTTCCCACGATCACGAAAAGCTTGGAAATATCATTGGATTTTAAAATTGTGTTTTATAGGCCATAAGAATCGGTGAACTCCCCTAAATGAACTGAAAATAATTAAAATTTCTCTAAAATATTTATTTGTTCAAAAATTGGTCTTTATGAATGTAATCTCAATAATTTTTTTTTTTAAATCTTTCTCCTGTTGGTATTATTGGTCATTTTTCAAAGGTGTGGGAATCCTGTTCATTAGTTCTTGCTATATTTTTTGTTGCAGTTTTCAGTTTAAAAACATATGCACTAAACAGTTAGTGTCATAAGGACAATGCATTTGACTTCATACAAGATCGTCCATTTAATTGTTGTGGTGGGTAAATAACTGTTCAATAACAATGATATATTTGTCTACTTTACTTCATGCATCTCAGAAAGAACCGATTTAAAGGGTATGTTAATGTAGTTTGAGTGTTGAGAGAGTGAACTTGTGGGTTACAGGTGTTTGCATTTGTTTTTTATTTTTTTATTTGTGGTTGACTATCGAAAAACTTTGTGTTGATGGTGAGTGACTGTAACATCGGCATGCTACCAGCCAGGCAACTTTTCTGTCTCTTGCCATGATCATTATACTACTCCCATAATCATCTTCCATGTTTTGATACTCTTCTGTCCTTCAAAATAGTTGTAGTGGTGCTTGTCGATCTGTGTTTGCCATTCGTTTTACAGCTGTTCACAAGAAACATTTTATTGCCTTGTTTTCTAATTTTCCTTTTCTGCTCTTCCTATTTCTCTGTCCTTCTTTATTTCCAATTTGCTGCCCACAGGAGAAATGAACCCTTGAGCAGACCTCACTCCTGGCATGCCACCAAGTTCAACGAGAGCCACTCAGAAGCCAAAACCCAGTCCACACCCTCAGCAGGCTGGCAAACAAGATATGATGCTAGGTAATTGAAGAGACAGAAAATGATTTGTTTCTGTCCATATTGCTTCTTTTAATAATGCCACTATTTTTCTTTTTTAAATATACATTGAATTGCACAAATTCTTCAAATTGTTTACTGCAGTTGCATTTGCTAGTTTATACAGCCTAAGCACGCTTTACACTTGTTTGTTTTTCTTAGCTCATTCTCCTCTGAACTCTCAACTGACTGGGAGCAAACAAATCTACAGAGAGTATCTGATCAGTTCAGCTCTTTGGGGAGTATGGACAGCCTAGATCATAGCTCTCATCCTTATCCACCTGGCTGTCTTTCCCCAAGCAAATCCAACAATAACAGCATTGAACATTTGGGTGGTGGTAAACGAGACTCTGCATACAGCTCCTTTTCTACAAGCTCAGGAACCCCAGATTACACACTGTCTAAAAGTAACGCTGCATCCACTGAAAACATGCTGTACAAAATTAATCAGTGGGACTCAAGTGGTAGGCACAGCAATGGCAGGCATAGCCAAAACATAAACGAAGGAATACGACAAGATGAGAAGCTCGGATACTTGCAGCATCTCTCAAGTACAGGTAGCCATGAGATCCCAAGACCCGAAGAACAGCCAGGCACTCGGCATTCAAGCTCTGGAAGAGTTAGTATTGGACCTGTCTGGCATGTCCCAGATATGAAGAAAAACATGGTATCCTCTACCCCACCTCCCACTCCACCGACACGCAGTGATAGTTTTGCTGCCACCAAGGTTCATGAGAAGGGTCTGATCACAGGCACCTCTGAGGGCCTTGGTGTTCATGCCCAGTTAAAGCCTCACGTGAAAGCATTACAAAAGGCTGGAGAAACCTATGAAAGTGCACAAAGGTCTCACCAAGTCATAGAGACCGTTCTTGAGGGTCAACGCAATTTTAACTTGCCATCCAAAAATGATTCTTCAAATCCTTGCATTTCATCCAATGTCCATCGTCATTATCCCAACCGCATGTCGTCAGACAAGACATACTCCCTATCAACCACAGATGTCAGAGATAGACATCCATCTTATGCCCATGTTCCACACCATCATCGTCAGTACAGCGACGAGGGCACTTTCCACGCTCAAACTAGGACAGTGCCAGCACTGAATCCTCCATTCAGTGGCTACTTTAGCAGTATGCAGGAGCTGCCCACAAACAACCACATGCAACCCAACAGCCAGAATCAAGCTAGAAGGCCAGCTGCATCAATTTGTGGTCCTTTTGGAGTTACCTCCCACCATGTCACTCAGGGTATGACACAAGTTTCTTTAGTGAGAGTTGATGAGTCTAAAGCTTCTGTAGCCTCAGAAATGTCTCACAGTGGACGGGACAGGATGTCCATAGGTTCTCAAGGAGGAACTAAAGACCGCTATTTCCCTCCTCAGTCACAGCACCATGATATAGAGCATAAGGACAATAATGCTTCCTTCAAACAAAGTGACAACCACAGTCGCATTTTCTCTGCTCCATGTAATCCCTTGAATATGCCTGATTCAACAAAACCTCCTGAGTTGAGGGCTAGCCAAAAGCAACACTATATGTCTAGTGCAAATGAGAATTCTGGTAGTTATCCCCATAGTAAGCAACCTGAGCACAGGAGAAATTCTGGCCATCTCCACCTTAAAGAATACTCACAACAACCTCTTCCAACTAAAAGCGAGTCAAAGATATGTCCCCAGAAAACACCTATGCTGTATTCTCTGGCCCATGAGCACAATGAAATGGATGACTGTCAAGATGAGATCAACAGTGGAAGTGCACAACAGGAAGCACTTGACAGTCAGAGCGGCAAACAGGCAAGACGGAGTGACCGGTTCGCCACCACCTTGCGCAACGAGATCCAGATGAGAAGGGCCCAGCTTCAAAAGAGTCAAAGCGCAGCCACTTTAGAAAGTCCGTTTGAAGCTGTAGAAGAGGCGGCTGTCTGGAAGACTACTACTCCTTCCTCAGATGGTGGCTTTTCTAGCTCTTATAAAGACCATCTGAAAGAAGCCCAGGCCAGAGTCCTCCAGGCTACATCTTTTAGGCGAAAAGACCTAGAGCCAGTTTTGTTTGAGCATCCTGGCACCGAGGGTTCTACTTGGAAGGACACACCTCCACTTCCAAGTGTCTCTGAGATCCCACCTAGCAAAGCCACCTCAGGGAGTAATCAGGTGCTTCGCATTGGTGGCCGCAAGCGGTTCTCTGCAGAAAAGAAAGTTCGGTCTTTTTCTGAGCCAGATAAAATTCATGAAGTAGGTGCTGATGAGCACTCCCCTATGCCTAACAATGCTGTACCCTTGGAAAATCGGCACATATTCTTTGATGCAACAGTAAAATCAGCTTTCTCTAAACCTATGCCAAAGCAAAACCTGCAGAAATCTGAAGACAACAGACTGTCCAAACCTGGAGGCTTGCATTATTCTGCAAAGAGTGACACGACCGGGCGGAGTAACAGTGAAAGCTCAACCCCCATTGAACATCACCTTATTGAAGGTCAGGATGGCCCTCTCTCAGTGAAACAACAAGCCATGCTAGAACAACAGCGACTTGGTACCTTTGCAGAGTATGAAGCCAAATGGAACACCCAGAGGAAGACATCCGAACCAAGGGTCTCTGGACGATACCACTCAGCTGATAACATCCTTGATACAGGAAATGAGGGGAAAAGTAAGCCCACCTGTGTGCATGAAAGATCTAGATCCTCCCCTTCTGCTGACTTCTATGGACAGGTTAGTTATTTCATATTTAATGAACCCCCCTGATTTTCTGTGGTTTAATGCTGTTGTTAAAGGGATACTCCACTTTTTTTGGAAATAGGCTCATTTTACAACTCCCTCAGAGTTAAGCAGTTGAGTTTTGCCGATTTTCTGATATTTAGAAGAATATCAGTAACCAGACCGTTTCTGGTCTCATTGACTTCCATAGTAGGAAAAAATATATATTATGGTAGTCAATGAGACCAGAAACTGTCTGGTTACTGATATTCTTCTAAATATAAGAATATCGGCTGAATGGATTCGAAAACGGTAAAACTCAACTGTTTAACTCTGGGGGAGTTGTAAAATGAGCCTATTTCCAAAAAAAAGTGGAGTATCCCTTTAAATCGAATTGGTGTAAACTGTTTGTAAAAAACTGTCAGACTGTTTTTATTTAGAAACAATCTTAAAGCAAAAGTTACTTGTGTCTTGCATTGAGCTCCAATGAATGATAGCAATGATAGCAATATAAAGGTTGGAACTAGTCAAACATTAAACTTAGTACAAAAAGTCACACCCTCAGACCAGGAAAGTTGCAAGTAAGATCACATATGTCAACCGTCCAAGTCAATAATTAGGATAGACAAGTCTTAAAAAGTTAACTGTAGAAATATCTTAATACCTGAACAAGGAGATTGAGTTTTATGTGTGTTCTATTCCTCCCAGAAACTTGCAGTTCAAGAAAAGTCAGCTGACTATTCCAAACCTGAGAAAATTCTCTCCGAACAGGATAAGAATAGCACAAGGTGGGTGCTGCAATGTTATTTTTCCATTGCTTTGTTAGTAGTTTAAAGGGTAAACAGATAATACATTATTTTAGCATGCTGATTATTAAAGTACTTTTGTTAGGCATGATGTTCAACTCCTGGGCATGTTTGAAACTAAACCAGAAAACTTATCTCTCTTTGTAATGGGAATTAAACAGATTCCAACAGTCCTGGCTGAGATTGTGTCAGTGCAACTATTCCAGTGCTAATGGCTGTGATCTTGGCCTTGTTGCAAACAGAAATCCACAGTTGGGCCATCAGTCAGCCCTCGTTGGGTCAAAGATAGACAGTAGACTCTTTATGATCCTCACAGTCTTGGGATTTAGCCCAGATGTGACGGCACTTCTATCCTCTCTGGCTGGGCTTTGTGTTACAAGGAGATGGTTTTGAGGTGTAGGCTTGTAAGTATGACATAGGAAGTGTCCAATCAGTCCATTCATAATAAGGCCAAAGAGTAAAACAGCTTTTTAAATGTCATTTTTGCTCTTCCTATTTCTTCAAAGTGTTTTTTTACAGATATTTTTCCCTATTTTAGTTTTTTACTCTGTGCAAAGATAAGACTATTTAAAAAATGTACTCTGCATGTACATTATTGTAGGTATTTAATTTTACCCTGAAAGAATCATGAATGGGAGCTCTGTACTCTGTTAAGAAGAAATGCTGAATTAATAATGCTGAAAGTTCAGAATTTTAAAACCATCTGGATGAAGAATAGAGGGCTTGTATGTATATTTTGCCCTTGAATAATGTATTAAATTGGCACAGAAAGTATCATCAGCTGTAGATAGTATGGATTTCTGTGCATGAAATGACCTCCAGTTACTTTAACATGTTTCAGAGTCTAGACAAGAAAATGTATGATTTCAAAACTGGCTAAGTTTATCCTGCAATCTCTCTCATTATAGTTTATAAAACACAATATGTATGTGTCCTTTAAAGATCTGTTTATTCCATTTGCATGCATACTTTTTAGTTGGGGCTCCAGTAGTTTGAGGTCAAATTAGATATTTGCTCTTATTGTTTCATATGTAAATTAGATGCTTTCAGAAGTTTTAGTTTGACCCTTTTTGCCAACACAACAAATATACATTTCTTAATGTCACAATCTACCCATTTTTTTATCTATCTTATATATATATATATATATATATATATACACGATTAATCGCATCCAAATAAAAGTTTGTGTTTACATAATATATGTGGGTGCACTGTGTATAATTATTTTATATATATATATATATGAAGAGTTCAGATGCAAAAGCCTCTAAGTGCCATTTGAAATTTTCTTCTAGAATGATCATTTTTATCAAGCTTGTATATTTAAGTTCAGTGATTTCAATTCAATGGCAATGATAATTACCTATTAATTGTTATTTAAGTGAAATTACTGAACTTAATACAAGTTTGATAAAAATCATCATTAAAGAAGAAATGGCATTTAGAGGCTTTTGCATCTGAACTCTTCATATATATATATATATATATATATATATATATATATGTATGTATATACGGTATATAGATTTATATATAATTTATATTATATATAAATATAGATATTTTATACATAAATAATATTTTTTCTTAAATATACATGCATGTGTGTGTATTTATTTATAAAATAATTATACACAGTGCACCCACATATATTCTGTAAACACAAACTTTTATTTTGGATGAGATTAATCACATGACAGCCCTAATATATATATATATATATATATATATATATATATATAATCAACCACTGGTTTCTCCAGGTCATTATATCTTAGACTTCTGTGTAGACATAAGGAGTGGCAAACTTGAAGCAAGTTACCGACAAACATCCATCATCCAAAGCCTTGTAAATTGCCCCCTATGAAAGGTTTTGTCGCGATTCTTGCTTTTAATTAAGGTGCTGTGGAGAGCAAACTATGAATTATACAATAGACCTGCATCTTCACTTCATAGCCCTATGAGTTTTCGTAAAAATCATTGTTTAAATGTCAAACTTCCTGTCTCCCACCCAATGATTTAATTTATGTGCAGACACGCATGACTCAATTATAAAAAGTTAAAGTTCTAGCTGAAAAGTCCTATCTAGAAGGATTCTTTACTCAAGTAAGTGTTATGGACACACTTCTAATGTTAGAAATCCCCACTGTTAGTACTATTGTTTATTTATTAGTATATCAAGTGTGGAGTAAATCCATTTGGAAACAATTCAATTGAGCTACAAGCATTTTAGCCCCACCCAGATGAGATTACATTTGTTGAGGGCTACAGGAAGCACCTGTCGCTGAGATGAGAACTCACAATCATCAGAGGTGAGCGCTGCTTCTCGTACGGTTGCATATTTAATGCAAGGATCTATATTTAGCCATTTTATTGCAACTTTAAAGTTGTAACAGCAGGAGTACTTGGATTATGGACTTTTCAACTTGACGGTTCTCTGATGAAGTTTGAATCCTTCTGAGTCTGTAAGATTCATTTAAGTTGTGTTAATGTTTTCTCAGTTTTGAGTCCTTGGTTAAATGATTGCTTCATTCTGTTTTCACTCGATAAGTAAATGCAGGTCAATTTCTTTTTTCTTTTTTTCATGAAATGCACAGTAAACGTTTCTGGTACTGGTAGAACATGTTTGTCGTACACACTTTATCAAACAAGGGAAGTTAGCAAGAGACTGTATTTGATTAAAGGTGGGGTACTGTGGACAAAAGCTTATATGGTATTACACCTGAGACTTTCTGCATGCCAGTTCATGCAGAGATCAAGTGCATGTATGTGTTAGACACTGTATAGTATCAGAAAGAGACTGCATCCCACTTGAATGTTACCAATGCATGCATGCTGTAATGACATCTGCAATGTAGTAGTTCTAATAAATGACTCTTAATCTGCACTTTTCTTTACTTTGGATACTAATGTTCAAAAGGTTGAGGTCAGTAAGATTGTTTACTTTTAAAATTAATACTTTTGATCAATAAGTTTGCATTTAGTTGTTAGTAGTGACTACATTCTAGCTGTTTTTAATATTTCTATTCGTCAAAGAATCAAAAAAATATATATATATACTGTTTTCAACATTGATAGTAAGAAATGCATAATATGCACCAAATCAGCATTTTAGAATAATTTCTGATTCAGGATCATGTGAGCAGTTATGGCGCGCTGAAAAATCACCTTTGACATCAGAGGAATAAATTACATTTTAAATGTATCATACTAGAACATTTTAATTTTAAGATTTTTTTAAATTCAAATAATATTTTCATAATATTATTGATTTTATTTATTTTTAAATAAATAATAAATTAAGCATAGAGTAGCAAAAGAGACCTACAGAACATTTTTAAAAATCTCATGTCCCCAAGCTTTTGAACAGTGGTGTATTTCTCTAACCACATTTTCAGTCAAAATCTCTTTCTGTCTTTTTCTTTGGAGCACAGCCACTGGTTCTATACACCCATCAGGTAATTCAGTATACTAGTATAAAGTATGTGTGAGTAGAAATTGTTGGGCAGTTAGATTTTTAAAATTGGTATAATTCAGTTGCAAACATCCACTGTAAGAGTGGGTGGTATCACCAAAATCATTATAAACCATACAGTTGAATCTCAATCTCTTGACGCCTTTCAATTGTTGCATGGTTTAAATATATACCATTGGACCAGATATTCCTAATAGATGTCTGCAAGAGGTGTCTTGCTTAACCCTGTAAATAATTTAATATATTTAAGTTACTTTCATAGAGTGTTGTTAAATTAGTAAGTTTTCTCTTTCCTAAGCTAAATATATTTAATCAAGAGCCCTTTTATCTCTTCTTGCCATCTATATGTGAGTAGACATGGAAGAGAGTAAAAACATAAATGAATACAATCAGGATTAAGAAGGGAAAAGTTTCTCTTTGCCAATTGCTGCAGGGGAAAGATCATTCTTTCTCCACAGCATGACAGGCTTGTGGGAACAGAAAAATGCTGGGTATGACAGCCAGCCTGGGAGTTACCATGGAGAGATGGTGAAATGTGGGAGAAATGTCTGCCTGCCTATCGATTTACTCTGAACACAGTGAGGCTTTGTGGACCAAAAAGAACACATACATTTAGAGTCTGGGCCTTTGATAAATCATCTTTAGTTTGTATTGGTGTATTGAGAATTTTACTTCTACTACTAAGTATTTCTCTTTTGTTTTCTAAGGTTTAATGAAAAAGGATTCAGTGAACTCGTATGCAAAGAGAAACCAGAAGCACCTCCTTCAGCTTTGACTGAAGACCTGGAGAAAAAGACTTCAGATCCTTCATCCAGTCATCACAAACCTGCACTGCATTTCTCTGACCATAGCACTCAGAGTGAACCATCAGCCCTCTCCAAAAACAAGAGCTCTGTTCTCTTGCCCCATCTGGAGAAGTACAAATGCCCTGAGGGTACACCTCCTCCTCTTAGCAATTTTCAGGAGCTCCAGCCTGGATCACAAGGAGGAGTCTTGGCCTCGCTCTCTCCTGTCAACAATCAAAGCTCCGCCTCGGTTTCAGCCCCCGTTCCCTGGAAAGGGTTGGAGCATAGCAAAGGGCCAATCAGGGAGGAGGAGCTTCAACAAGAGCTTGTGCCTCCTCCCTTTCCACCTCCTCCCCCTCCCGTTGTCCTGCCCACCCAACAAACCGCTGGCCCTACCCAGCCCACCATGGAGGGGCAGCGTTCGCCCTCGCCCCAGTTTGCTCCCCAGAGGCTGACTGACAAGCCCCCCGTCCCTGTCTCCATACAGGATGAAGCTCCTGGAAGGTAAGACTTTCTGTATTCAGAGTTAAATTCTGCCGTTTAGGAAATCTTTCAGGTCTGTGTTGGAATTCGGGGCGATTTCCACTGGCAAACCACAGCTGGGCTCCTCTCAGCTGCAATCTTAAAACCATCACTGGAAACTCTCCCTACAGCCCAGTAATTTAATGACAGTGCTTCTCTGACTGTCTCTTTATTGTATTCATGCACATACAAGGGGCTTATTCATATGTGCCCGTACTGCAGATTGTCCATGTGTACTGCAGTTCTTCAAATCAGTGATAAGTAGAATACCACATAGCCTCAACGGAAGACTGTTGAAAAATATCACTTATGGGGCATTATTTTTGCCGTTTTGGGTCAAATATGGGATCTGTAGTAGTCTTACAGTGGACGCCTTTTTATGACGAACAGTATGATATATTTGTATGTGTACACTATATATATATATATATATATATATATATATATATATATATATATATATATATATATATATATATGTGAAGAGTTCAGATGCAAAAGCCTCTAAATGCCATTTGAAATTTTCTTCTTTAATGATGATTTTTATCAAACTTGTATATTTAAGTTCAGTAATTTCACTTAAATAACAATTAATAGGTAATCTTCATTGTCATTTAAGTGAAATCACTGAACTTAAATATACAAGCTTGATAAAAATTATCATTCTAGAAGAAAATTTCAAATGGCACTTAGAGGCTTTTGCATATGAACTCTTCATATATATATATGGTTTTCCTGTGTGCAAAGCCCTCTAGCCTGAAGTAAAATAATTTAATGTGTTTTCACAAAGATTAGACCCATGAAAATAGTTTGTACTGCCCTTGTTGTGCTCATGCTTTTGCCTAGTTACCTTATGTTGCATTTCTTGTGTTCACCAGAATAACACAATTCCATTTTCACCGTTTTTGTTTACCAGGATGGATCGAGTTAAAGACGAGAACACAACAGTGAAGAAAGTGCCCATTAAGATTGTCCACTCAGAAAGTAACACCGGAAAAGAAAGTCGACAATATCTCGACCTGCCCAGTGAGACCCCTGTCAGCTCGCAAGAACCTGGAGTAACACATCTTCAGAGCTTGGGGAACCCGGATCAGTCATACTCTCTGTTCTGTACATACACCAGGCAAAAGGACCAGGGGCCAGAAACAAGAGACGCAGATATGGGCCTTCTAAAAGACCAAGGGCCACAAACCAATGCGAACCCGGTATTCTATGAGCAGACGAGCCCTTCGTTAGATCAAAGCAACAACGGATTGTCTTCACATCACTTGCATTCAGAGGATGATGAAAAAACAAAGGAGCTGGCTAGAGACATAATGGTTAAGGACAAGTCCCTAGTGGACATTTTAGACCAGAGTAAGATGAAGACCACTATGGATCTGATGGAAGGTATTTTCCCTCAGGGAGAGCTGCTACTGGAGGAGGCCCAACAGCGCAGGAAAGCTGCACCTAAACTGCAATCCCCTCGTAACTCTGTGGAGAAGTCAGTATTTCTTACTTGTGAACCTACTATATTCCCATTTCTTAACGCATTAAGGCCCCAACTCAGTTTGCCAAGTTTGAATTTCATTATTTATTCCAGGAATTTACCCTTAATACCTTTAAGAAGGAAGACGGATTGAACGTGTTTCTGATGTTCTGTTTATTATTTTTTTTAAATCAGGAAGTCAGGGTTGTTTGAGCCCTACCCATGTGGTTCTCTTAAAAAAAAAAAATAAATAAATAAAATCCTAAGAATGGCATTTCGTGAAAATTGTAGCTGGCCCAGTTCTCTTTTCTAAGTTATGATTCCAAGTTTCTTGGAAATCTAGGACTCATCTTGCCATCTGGGAGCCTTTTGTGTAAATATGAAGTTGCAAAATGATTCTTAAACACTCCTGTCTGCCATTGGTTGGTCAAACAGATCTTCCGCCCCATGCTCATGCCATGTCATAAGTAATTCTGTTTGGATTAGTTGGCTTGTGTTTCTCATAAAACTCATCTGTGGGTTCTCAGGAAGGAAGACGACAGCCTGGTAGTGGCTACTGCTTTAGGGACTAATTCAACCTACTACAGTACATCTGCACCCAAAGCAGAGCTGCTGATTAAGATGAAGGACATGCAGGAACAGAGTGAGGAACACGACTCAGAAGAGGAGTTGGAGGAAGACAATGAAAGTGATCTTGCCAACAAGAAGGTACCAACAATCTGTACAAACAAATTGTATTGTACAAACAGATGCTTTCTTACCTTCACCAGCTGTTTTTAAATGTAGTCCTAATGTACCTTTTAGTTTTTATACGGTGACGAGAACTCAATGCACCGCAACAGAAGAAAACGCATGCATTCGATAAAAACACCAGAAAATGCAACCGTATACAGAAACGGGCTACTTACCAATTTATTTTATCAAATGCCTTTTCTCTCTTTGCAGCATGAGTTGATTGACAGCCTCAGCAAAAAGTTGCAGGTGCTGAGGGAAGCTCAGGAGAGTCTGCAGGAGGACGTGCAGGACAACAACGCTCTTGGGGAAGATGTGGAGGCCATCGTACAAGGCGTCTGCAAGCCCAATGAACTCGACAAGTTCCGCATGTTCGTCGGTGATCTCGATAAAGTGGTCAACCTTCTGCTGTCTCTGTCTGGACGTCTGGCCAGAGTAGAGAATGCCCTAAACAGTCTGGAGGAAGATGCTTCACAGGACGAGAGGGTGAGAATGAAAACGAGGGATTTGGGAAAACAGGATTCAGGTTTTGGAGAAATGACTTTCAGATTTGTAAATTGCAAAAAGCACGAAAATATTTGGAGAACAGAATTAAAGCTGTAAAACTGCTAACATTAAAGTATCACTTTAGGCTGATACAGGTGATACAGCTTTGTGTCCAGCTCATGTCAATTCCAGATCCAATATACCCCCCCCCCCAACCTTATCCTTAGGCTGTGTGTCCACCAAAGCGTTTTTAGCCAGCTGAAAACGCTAGACGCTCTGCTGAAGTCGCCGTGCATTGGGCGCTTGAGAACGTTTTGGCAGAGAATGTCTAATTGAAGAGAATTGGCACTGGCTGATTACTTCCGAGTTCTGGACTGGCTGCAGTAACGCGTCTCTGTCCATGCGGGGGTGCTCGCGGTCGAGTGCAGAATGAATGGGAGTCAATGGGGTTTCACCCCCATAAATCCACTTTTCTCAGGATGTATTTTTTTGTCAAGTAATTTGAAAGTTGCATTCAAAAGGGAGGGCTAAGATAATACACTCAGCTAAAAATTGCATTTTTAAGTTCACTTATCTGTTCTAAAAATCCGTTCAAAAATGTGATGACGTCACACAATAGCAGAATGCTAGCGTGTTCCGGCCAACAACGGCCTAACCTGTAAGAAATCAAAAGGACATAAGTATTCGTTCATTCGACTTTTGGCCTATAATCTATATTGAACTTGCGGAATCAACAATCAAATCTATGTTAATTTAATGACAAGCAGGTGAAAGAGCCATTCATTCTGCTCTCACCTGCGATCACCTCCAGTGGAATTCTAATGGAACTGCAACCAAGATGATACACAATAGGGCTAATAGGAAGTGCCAAGGCTCTCCGTTAGACGGGCTCTGGTTTTGGCAGCGCAGCGTTTTTCCGTTGAGACGTTTCGTTGCTATGATACAGAATATCCGCAGCAGTTTGAATGTTGAGAGTTGGTCGGTGTGGTATTCTGCCCTACAAAGGCAAAAGGCAGTAACTGACCAGAGTGTCAAACTGAGGAAAATGACTTTAAAGTTTTTTGTTTTGTCCACACAAATGTATTATAGGTAGAGCAATGAAAATCTGGTGACTTGTTGCCCAGATCAAGAAATGTGTGTATATAAAAAATCTTGTGCTCAAAGTTGACTTTTGACCCTTATTTGTCAGATACTGTACTCTGCCTTTGTATTATTTACTAAAAAATAAGGAGTCGTGCAAAGGCAAAAGGCAGTAACTGACATATAATCAATTTGCTTACCACCATTTAGAAGATAATTAACTGATCACCTTCATTAAAGTCTAATGGGAAGGGAATCGACCAAACAAAAAGTTGTATGTGTACGTGGATAATATTTTGCAACAAATACACTTTATGCTGTTTCACTAACGCTAAATGACGCTTAATTACAGAAGACGCTTTGAAACTAGCCTAGATAACTTGTGGATAGCTTGGTCTGAATACCAGCAAGGGACACGGACTATATGTTCAAAACCTTTGAGGATTGTGGAAACATCGTAGATGACGTGTATTGCAATGGATTTTATGGAGTTACAAGAAAAGGTAGGAAATGATTGTTTACTGCCGCTGTGCAGTAATGTGTAGCATGATAGCTAGGCTGGGGCTAACATGTCAACATTGAATAGGCTACATTCCTGCAATGTCTGCATCTCTGGATTGTCGGCACAGAATGGATTGCTGAGTGATTTTTAATTATTTAAGAATTAGATGTCATGCTGTCTAGGTATCTATTGATGTTTTGGTTGGTGTTGGTGTGCTGGCTAATAAGTAGACTAGTTAGCTTCTTCGTCAGTTGCTTGTCCTAGCAATTCAAAATTAACGTTAAGTATATGGCACTTTCATACTTCATCTAATGCATTATGTTATAAGATAATTTATTACCTTGGTCTTCATGTCTTCTTTTCAACGCCAACTCCACCATCATTCTCCCTCGAGAGCAATTTGCCATTCTTACAGTAGTTCAACACTTGACAAAACGACTACTTAACACATTTGACAGCTCGTTTTTTATTTGGATATTTGTGTGTTATAGAAGTAAGTTATTTAGTGACAATACATGGACAGTAACTGAAGCACGGCAAATTTTTATGGACAGTAAAACAAAGGCAGATCATCGTAACTGCAAGGTGGCACCGTAACATCTCTTTTATGAATGGCTTAACAAAGGCAGAGTACGTAACTGGACTTTTGCGTCGAAGATCAAAGCCAAAGAAGGGTAACTGCAGTTACCGCTTTCTGCCATGGTTGCTTGTATGGTTTTGGGAGTTACTGTGAACACAACCCTCTATTTTTTCGAAAAAACAGTCAAATTGAGTATAGATATTTATCCACATGATAAAGGAGGTCTTTAATATCCCAAAAATGACATTAACTCATTTTTGACCAAAAATGCAGTTACTGCCTTTTGGCTTTGTAGGGCAGTATTAGTCCCGCCCCTCCTGCACTGTGATTGGACGGCTGGGTAAAAAGTGACAGTGATGAGCGCTGCATTTTATCCAAAGTTGAACATTTTTCAACTCCCAGCGACCAGTAAAAACGCCAGACGCTCGGCGCTTCAGCATGAAAAAAAACGCTCAGCGCCTCGATACGCTCATGGCGTTTAAAAAACGCGGCGCTCCCATTAAAAACAATTGAATACGCCAGGCGTGTGGAAAAACGCTTTGGTGGACACACAGCCTTTTATAGTGATAATTTGGAAAATGGTTGAGTACCATGAGTATTCATTACAGTTCTTTACTAGTATTATACCATTTATAGAGGTTTAATTGGACTAATCCAGATAATAAAATTTCACTTAATTTCATATAGCTTTGCATAAATGCCTTAAGAGAAACAAATTATTACAATTATTACCTTCAACCTGGTTGATTAGGACACTTTTTGACAGTGTAGTAAATTTTACAATTTAAAAACAAAATTTTTTTTTTCCATTTTAAAATGTAATTTATTCCTGTGAAAGTAAAGCTGAATATTCATCAGCCATTACTCCAGTCTTCAGTGTCACATGATCCTTCAGAGATCCTTCTAATTCTATTCCACAGATTTGGTGCTTAATTGTTAATTTGTAAAAAAACAAAAAAAACAAATAATAAGTGCGTGTGTCTACTTAACTATATTTTGGGGACAAATTTGTACCCAGAAGTGACCAAAAACCTGCCTTTAGGGATGGCCTTGTTTGTAAAACTGGTATAAAGTAATTAAAGTTTTTTTTTTTTACATAGAATATACATCGAATATACAGTTTGTACAGTATAAAAACCATTACGTCAATGGAATCTCCCCATTTAGATTAGCTAAGTAAACGTGTGTGAGTGAGAAAGCGCATGTATAACGTAAAAATGTGAAATGTTCATCTTCCTTCTGCAGCGTACTCTGACAGAGAAACGCAAACTGCTGATCCGTCAACATGAGGACGCCAAGGAGCTGAAGGAGAACCTTGACAGGAGAGAGCGTGTGGTCTACGACATCTTGGCCAGCTACCTGCCAGAGGAGAGTATGACTGATTATGAGCATTTTGTGAAAATGAAATCTGCCCTTATTATTGAGCAACGCAAGCTCGAGGACAAGATTAAACTGGGGGAGGAGCAGCTCAACGGTCTAATGGACAGTCTCCCATCAATGGACCACAGGACAACCAACTGAGGACTTGATGGAGTGATTCATGCAGTAATCCACAGCAACTCGTTTGACGTCACCCTAAATAACAGGGTGCCAGTACTTAATGTCGATTTACTGCCAATAGAATTGCATTCTGGTCATATATTGAGTGCTCTTTGTCTGACCCAGCAGAGAGCGTTTTGGAAAGACTCATGAAGACCCTGAAAGTGCTGGGCACTTTTAGAGCATGATTTGACCCAAGCTGATTTTACAAAGCACACTGCGGTTGTTACCTTTTTTTAGTGTCAGCTGATTTTATGCTTTCATGACCTTTCAATGTTATACGACCCATAGAATTATATGGTGAAATAATAATATTTTTTAAAGACACTTTAATTTTACCCCCACAACTGTTTAGATAGATCTTGCCCCTTTTTGCGCCCTAGGTAAAAACATGCCATGGTCACTCAGTGTGCTGTATCTTTTTGACCACTAGAGGGTGATGAAAGACAACTTAAAGTGTATGTGCCTGAAGCCTGGCATAAATTCATTCATCACCCAAGCGTTGCACATGTAAGCTGTGTTGCTATTTTCATCGGGAGGCTGTAATTAACTTCCAAAACTGACTTTTGGGGGGTTCATTATTTCAAATGACATGTCACTATCCTGATTATGTTAAAAAATAATTCAGTGATATTTGTAGTAATTTATTTTAGCCTTTTGAATCTTTGTATATAACTAGAATAGGCTAGTATTGTACTCTCGCTTTATTTTAGCCAAGCAAACTACCACTTTAGTCTGCACGCTTTTTAGAGGCTGTATATCACCATAAAATGCATTGTAACACCAGAATTAGGATTGACTGAAAGTATTCTATTGTTTAAAGAATCGAAGAGACTTGCCTAAACTATATAATATCATTTCACTAAGGATTAAGTGCTTGTCTATAAAATACCAGCTGCCTTTTGCTTCAAGTCATGTGTCTGAGTCATTTATAACTGCATCGGTAAGATTGTAAGAGGTCAGAATGGCTTTGAAAGGAGCTAAATGAAAAAAAGCATCATGTTCTAGTCTGTGTACATTCACACAGAAATTTTGTAGTCACAATTCCGCTTTTCATTGTGACCTTATTTCCACAGATAGCTAATGAAATGCAGTCTCATGAGTGTATTGCGTTCAACACTGCTCTTAAGTATTACATTTAAGTGGCACAAGTCATTTTTCATAAAAAGACAACGCATATATTATAAGATCATTGAGTTGAACCAATAGCTAAAATATAATTGGCTCACATTCCACAAATATGTGATTTGGATGTGATCATTTAGTTTTCACCTGCTGTTAGATGTTGAAACCACAGCATTATGTTGCAAAAAGCAGCATTTTAAAGATTTTTTTGTTGGCTACATATCAATCACAAACATTTTGTTTACATATAACAGCATGCTTTGACAGTGAAATGAAGGCATTCATTGAATGTTGTCTGTCATGCCTCATTTCTGGATGGTCACTATTGCTTTATGACAATTGTTGACATGAATGCAGTATGATACAATGTTCCTAGTTTTGCGATACACTGTGGAAATAGCATCTGTATATGTCACCCAAGATTGATTTATTTTTTTATTCCTTTTTTTTTATAAACAAAAGTGTCTGATAAATGGGAACGTTTAGAGCTAGTATTCGACTGGTCATACGTCATCATGGCCACTATGAATCCACATCTCATGTAAATGTGCTGTTTTAAACGTATTTTGTCAAAAGTATCCTATTATTATTTTTTTAGGTGCTAAACAATTTATTGTTCCATAATGACATTTTAGTTAAATTTTAGAGGTAGGCCTTCCTACAACATTTTGTATCAGTAATTACGCAATTTAATTTAAAAGGCAATCGTTCTTTTTTTATCTGAATAGCTTTGCCTCTGATCACCTTCGTTCTTTTTTTATCTGAATAGCTTTGCCTCTGATCACCTTCGTTTCCAGTAATATTTAACTTCAGATGTTGTCTCAGTGTCTTGGCCAATCAGGAAGACTTTGACGTATGTAAAACGCGATAGCGTGCATGTGGAAAAAATAATGGCCTGCACAGCTGTGTTAATAATACTATAGCATGTGTGTATTTCTGCTAAAATATTTATTCAATTTCTACTCGAAATCAAAAACCTATTTTAAAATCTGAAAACAGTAGCCTAATGGAAAAAAAAAAGAAACAATCGATGTTTGGATTGTTTACTCTGAAATACGCATGCTGGAGCAGCTTAAAAAACAGGTCTTCAGCATGATTTGAGCTAAGGAATAGAGTATTCATTTTTAATATTATTGACAATTTAAAAAATGATATTGAAACATAATCCTGACAAAACTCTATGGAAGAATACTAACTTAAGGATGCGAGCCTTCTTGCATTCAATGATTCCAGGATGTTTGATGGAAAGAGTAAGCAAATGTAACAGTCTGCGTGTGTTTACAGATAAAAAATATGCAAACAACACGTTGGATTATCATAATTCATGTGTATGCACACACTGGCACTGCAGAGACGTTCTCAGCCATTATTCCCCAAAACAATTAACGTTAGGTCAAGTTGAACTGACCATTCCATTAACGTCAAAGGGAAAAGGTGTTATCAGTAACGTGATCAGCCGATACTGTAACTTTATTGTTTTGCACTGATCCTCCCCTCCCACTCGTCCGTTTATTGAATATGCTACATTAATCATTAACCACAGTTGTGTTTGACTTGTAGCATTCGCGTCAGTTTGGAAAGTTGTCGCTAGTTTTGAATGAGACATCCTGTGTTTTGGATGGACTGACAGTTTCGAAGGAGCTCAAACAGGTAAGAGTTTGGTGTGCTCTGTGTGATGATGTGAGTAGCTACATGTTTTCATTAGCCTACATATGATGTATGGAAATGCGCAGTCAATTTTACACAACCTTGACTGAGAAGCTACAATTGTGGACAATAAGACCTGGAGTTCCACTGGAAATTGTGAAAAAGTCGCACTTTTTTTCCCAATGTCATTAGCTAACCGTAGTAATACCAGTAGCTAAATTATGCACACAGGTAGGCCTATAGTAGCCTACTTAAATGCAGATAACCATAAACTAAACCCTAAGCCTAATTATATCCCTAAATTCATGTTGTTAATTGATACTCAGTACTAAAATTAATAATAACATTGTAACTAAGACCTTAATAAAATAAAGTGTAAACAAAAATACACATGAATAGACGTAACATAATATGACAACATAAGTTTTGGTCTCTGAAATTTATTAAGCTGTAACATGGAGTTATTGGGGGGTTGTTTGCAAAGTGTTAAGGAAATCACTTCCCCAAAGCTCCAATAATTGTTCCCATCTCTGATTCCTTTGCGTGAAGAAACAGATTATTGTAAATGAACTTTCAGCTTATTCCGGAACATTCCGCAACCCCAGGTGTGCAGGAAATATTAGTCTCTCTCTCTCTCTCTCTCTCTCTCTCTCTCTCTCTCTCTCTCTCTCTCTCTCTCTCTCTCTCTCTCTCTCTCTCTCTCTCTCTCTCATCCTCCTTTTCCTCCTCTGCTTGGTCTCAAATGCTTAGTCTTTTGCTTCTGTAGTGTCCTTTTTCCTCCCTCTGGAAACATCACTCTTCACCACAATTTTTTTTAAACACTAGATGTAAAAAACATTTTCCTCAGTCTAAAAGGGTTGTTTGTTTCCAAAGGAAGCACTTTGTATATTCCAAACACTTCAATCTAAAGCCTGCGTCATGTCTCAACCCATTTGCCCCTGCAATCTCCATGTGTTTTCCTGTCTTCTCTCTTGTCATATCATTAAAAGAACAAAAGCTCATTAAAAGGCTCCCAACGGGGTGTTGGGGGTCCACAGAAAATTTCAGTAAACAAAGGCATTTATTTAAAAAATGATTAGCATTTATGTTTACTATAATGGCTGGGAATACATCATACAAATTAATACATTTTCCATTGACAACCAAAAAAGAATTATTGACTTATTATTATATTATATTACTTTGGGGTTTTTTTTAAACACATTAAATATTTTCCAAATACTATTTAACTAATTTTTTTTTTTGCCTTTTTTTGTTTTGTTTTTAATTAACACATTTTCTAAATATCATGCTATATTTATACATAAAAGAATGTATAAATAAAAGTACCGTTCAGAAGTTTGGGGTTGGTAATTTAATGTTTTGAAAGATGTCTCTTATACTGACTCAATTACTCCAGTCTTCAGTGTCTAGGATCCTTCAGAAATCGTTCTAATAAGCTTAAAGGAGTTTTAAAGGAGTAGTTCACTTTAAAAAAAAAAAAAAAAAAAACTTTTGCTGATAATTTACTCGCCCCCATGTCTTCCAAGATGTCCATGTCATTCTTTCTTCAGTCGAAAAGAAATTAAGGTTTTTGATGAAAACATTCCAAGATTTTTTTTCCATATAATGCACTTTACTGGTAATCAAACGGTTCAAGGTCCAAAACACAGTTTCACTGCAAACTGTTGAAAGGGCATTAAATGATTCCAGACGATGAATAAGGGTCTTATCGAGCGAAATGATCGCTCTGTTCTGTGATGCGCGTTCGTGACTCTCCTGTTCGAACTCGTTTATCAAAATGAACTAATCTTTTTTCGTGTCATTTGGTTCATTCAACGAACAAAATTAACAAATTGACTCGGGAAAATATTAATTTGTTTTGATGAACGAGTTCGAACAGGAGAGTCACGAACGCGCATCACAGAACAGAGCAAGTCGAGCATTTGTGCTTATAAAGTTAAACTTTTTTTTTTTTTAAATGAGTGATCGTTTCGCTTGATAAGACCCTTATTCATCGTCTGGAATCATTTAAAACCCTTTGAACAGTTTGCAGTTTGCACTGAAACTGTCTTTTGGACCTTGAACCGTTTGGTTCCCACTGAAGTGCATTATATGGAGAAAAATCCTGGAATGTTTTCATGAAAAACCTTAATTTCTTTTCGACTGAAGAAAGAATGACATGGTCATCTTGGATGACATGGGGGTGAGTAAATTATCAACAAAAGTTTTTTTTTTTTTTTTTTTTAAATGTGAACTACTCCTTTAAGAAGCATTTCTTATTAGCAAATGGCTGAAAACAGTTGTGTTGCTTAATGTTTTTGTGGACACCATGATAATTCTCTTGATTTATCATGGTGTCTGATTTTTTTTTTTTTTGTAACTATAAATGTCTTTACTGTTACTTTTGACCATGCAGTCTAATTGCTGAATACTGCTTTAACTTTTTTTTTTTAAATCTGACAGAAGCATGATTGCAATATAGCCATGGCCCTGAAGAACAGTTGGCAAACCTGAGGAGGAAATATTCATAACCGCCTGGTGTCCGGTCTCAGCAGTTTCAGCAATGGCTTACCTAACCCAGTCAGTCCATTGGCAGTTTGTGGGTCTGGTGCTTGGGTTTGTAGGATGGATAATAATGGCCTCTATCTCTGGGGTGAACGACTGGAGGATATGGTACGTGGACAATCAGACGGTCATCACTGGAGGAATGGCCTGGGTGGGCGTGTGGAGGACCTGTTTTAACAGCCACATTTTGGACTCAGCTGAGATCTGCAAAAGCATCGGCCTTACAGATTCCTTCACTCCTCCAGAGATTGCAGCCGCTCAGGTACTTTGCATGACTGCTATTGGTGTGGGGGTAGTCGCAAACCTGGTGGCAGGATATGCGATGAGAAACGCAATTCTTGGGGTTGATGGCGGGCATGTCAGATTGGCCTTTGTGATGGCGGGTTCCTTGTTCTGGTTAACTGCAGTGTGTACTCTGGTCCCTGTCATTTGGAATATGAGTTCTGTGCTGGCGAATCTCACTATAGACTTCCCACCTGACTTCTACTTGCCTTCTGCTCCAGTAAAACAGGAAGTGGGTCCAGGGATTGGGTTTGGGATCGGCTCAGCTTGCCTACTCATTGTAAGTGGACTACTATTATTGTGCTGCAGGTATCCCAAAACCAAGATGCCCATGAGTGGAGAAACTGGACATTTTGAGAAAATTGTGAGTGATGAAGGCTTTCTTGGTGTAATTAAAGAGAGTATGGATGAGGGGAAGATCAACCCAGCATTTGAATCGGATAATCATTAATAATAAAAATTATTAAAATTATTCCATAATTCTATGGAAGGAAATTGAAGGCTCTACATACAATTTCTCAAGAATTTTCACTATTCAAGGTAAATGTATATATTATTATTATATTTTTAATTACGAAAGTGAATAAATGAACAGAAATTAAGGCAACACAATTTTGAGCCCATGTAACTGTCAAAATTTTAATTTGAGAGATTCTATAACACTGGAATTTTAAAGTTTTTGTATACACTTGTTACATAATGTGCTATATCTATATCAATGCTATATCTAATGGCGCTTTTCCACTACATGGTACGGTTCGGTTCGGTACGGCACGGTACGCTTTGGCGCTTTTCCACTGCATGGTATGGTACGGCTCGCTTTAAATGGTCCCTGATCTGTTGAGGTTCCAAGCGTACCGTACCACAGCCCATTCTCACCCCCAAGGCGTCACCTAACTGACGCCTTGGGAAGCATTTGGACATGCTTCAATATCTGACGCTTTAGGCGCCCTTTAGCGTCAGTTAGATGACGCCCTAGGATCGCGTGTACCCTACCCCCACCCCACACCTAAACCTAACCGCGTCCTCTAACTGACGCTTTCCTTTAGCGTCAGTTAGATGACGCCGTAGGATCGCGTCATGTAAGTGACGCTAAAGGGCGCCTAAAACGTCAAATATTGAAGCATGGTCAAAGGTGACGCCTTGGGGTGAGAATGCGTTGCGTACCAGTACTAAAATGTGACGTGAAACACTGCAGATCAGAAAACACTGCACTTATTGGTCAGACAGAATCATCACTGCCAGTGTCATTGTATTTGCAACCAAATTCTCTCGACAAGAGAAACCAAACCCTCTAGTTTTAAATACCCAGTAACAGCCACTGTTCGCTGTTATCGAACAGTCTATAATCCCACCCACTTTAATGCGGTACTAACTGCAGTGGAAAAGCAACCGAGCTAAAGCGAACCGAGCAGTGCCATGTCGAGCCGAGTCGTACCACGCAGTGGAAAAGCGAAGTGAGCCGAACCGTACCGAGACGTACCAGCAGTGGAAAAGCGCCAAAAGATCTGTGTAACAACCTTCTCACCGAAATGTCTGTAATGTAAGCTATAGGCTATACTTTGTTAAATGTATGTATATATTTACCAATTTGGGGTCAGAAAGATTTCTTGGGGCCAGTTCACATTTTGCCTCTTTTGCGCGCTCAAGTTAGTAATTTCAAATGTAGGCGCGCAGGGGAAGCGACGCGTCGAGATAAAAACAACTCAACTTTTCAGAATGCCGCAAGCGCACCATAGGTTACGTAGATGGTTGCTTAGCAACGACAGTCGCCTCCAGAGCGCAACCGCCCTAGCGCTTTGTAAAAACGAGAACGCGACCAGCCTAGCATTTTCTTCACGTTTTTAGGCGCTATATGTGGAGAAATATCTTATGTACAACAAGACTGCACTTATTTGATGAAAAATAGGTAAAAGAAATAGTAATATTGTTAAATTGTATGTAATTTAAATGTTATTTAAAAAATGTTTTCTATTTGAGTATATTTTAAAATGTAATTTATTCCTGTGATGCCAGGCTGAATTTTTAGCATCATAACTCCAGTCATCAGTATCATGACCTTCAGAAATCATTCTTATATGCTGATTTGGTGTTAAATAAACATTAATATCATCAGTGTTGCTGCTTTTTGTTGGCCTACACACATTTTTACATGATTCTTTGATGAGCAGCGTTTAGGCTATTTGAAATTTAATTTTAATTATTGTGTATAAACTTTTGAAGTGTATGTATATGAAGATAATGTATGTAAAAATGCTAATTTATTCCTCTCAGTGTTTTAGAGTGAAAGTAATGAGCACTGTACCCAATACCATAATTAAAATAATAATAATAATAATAATTTAATGTAAAAAAATTGAGTACAATCAACTTGGATTCCTTTCAACTTAAATGACATTAAAGTGACTTTTGAAAATGAGCTGAATCTTGTATAACATAAAAAAGGAAAATATTATTAAATATTATTATCATTTTATTTTGATGAGTTTAAGCAATGTAAAAACATATGGTGTCATAACTTATTGATCATATAATTTTTAACAGTGCATGCACAAAATATTTCCCATTGTTTTTCAGACATAATATAATCACCAGGCTGCCATAAAAGCTGTCGACACAAGATATCTTGAATTTGATTTTAGATATGATTCAGCTGACTATAGAGTGGATCTTTGAGCGGGGACAAGGTGATTTCAGAGGAAATAACCCCTGCCATGAGTGGAATGAACTTTACTGTTATTTCCCAGCTTGATACTTGCCCTTATTACTGTGTTTTTCTACACCCCCCATGGGCTTTTAGTTTGTTACTTGCCAACATTTAATCTTGTTAAAATTGAACATTATTTTTGACAAATCCCACTGGATAGTACATGATTTTCTTCTGTTATAAAACCACATAATCCCCCTGATAACTTTGCAAAGGGAAATTAATTATTTAATTATTGCCAATCAAAGTTGCTTTTGTTTTTTGTGTGTTGGTTCCAAGGTTATTTTCGTAAATCAAAAATAAATAAATAAATAAATAAAACTATAAGACTAAAAAAGAAAAACAAAACACTTTTGTGAACTGAAATAAAGTAATAATTAGCAAAAATATATAATCGTTTTCGTAATTAATTTTCTCTCATCCTGCAGGCTAGCTAGGTTACCGAAAAATCACTTTTTTCATTTACACTGCACTACTTAATTTCCATTGTATGACCCTTGAGCTTGAGTCTCACATCTTTTGCAGCGTTTGCATGAAACGACTTTTCTAAAAACTTGAGTTAAAATAAGTTCAGCTTATAAAAGCTGCGTCTCGAGACATTGCTCCTTTTCAAACCAAAACCGCTTTCTTTCTGTGTGAACCATTCAAGCAGAAATGGCCAAAGAAGTATTTCCATCATGTCTAGACCTTATGCGAATAGAGCCTTAATTCAAAGAAAGATGACCATCTCATGTGAAACTAAACACTGAGCAGAATCGCCCACAAATGGAAATATTGGTCAGAGTAGAAGTAAACAAAATGTCCCGTTTGAATAGAATACATGAAAATGAGTAAAACTAGGCCTACTATTATGAAATTAAAATACAATACATCAATCAATACATGTTTGAAAGGATTAATCATAAATTACCATAAAATAATAACTACAGGCATTTTTTTTTCTTTTTCTTATATGCCACGTTTAACAAGATTTCATCTTAAATATGAATGTAATGACTCAATTTTACTTTTAAACTGCAAATATTAAACTTTGCTGAAATTGTGTTCAAAAACTAAAGACTACAACTAACAAAACCATTAATGAATCTAACTAAAAGTTAACTGAAATTTATAGGAAATTTAAAAATGATATTAAAATAAAAACTATTTTAAAAATGTAAACCTAAAACCTTGGGTCATTAGTCTGTTTGACGATTTATCCATCTAAAACACTCAAATGTATGCGCAAAAATATGTGTTAAGAATTGTGGCTTAGAACAGTGGAGAATTTGTCTTCCAGGATGGACTCCCAGGGCCATTGGCAATTTGGCGTGCATTGTTCTGAGGAAGATGTGAAAGAAACATCCTGACAGAGAAGAGCCAAGACCCCTACTGAGACGAACTCATTGTCTTAGAGAGGGTACACAAACACATTTCTGCTCTCATGGGACCAAGAGTGGGGCATAATATTGGTGGAGTTTCTTGGACCTCAGTGTAAAACCTCCTTTACAACAGTTTGTTAGTATTTTGACCTGTGTAAAAACCTGCCCTTAAATTGTATTACTCCCATTTTTCATTAAAAATGAGGATGATGACCTGAAGGAGATTGTCTCTTTAGTTATTTAATGTCTAAGTTGACTGGTTTATGTAATATGAACTGATTTACAGATTATGATCAAACCCAATGATAAAGATTAGATTTTAACATATCTCTGCACAGCAGAGGTAAGGCAAAATCCTCACAGTTTTTCCCATGTAGCCATATACATCTATATATAGATACAGTATATATATATATTGTATGTGTATATATAGATAGATATATATATATATATTGTATGTATATATAGATGTATGATATATGATATATATATATAGAGAGAGAGAGAGAGAGAGAGAGAGAGAGAGAGATGCATATATACTAATCAAACTTAGAAATATGTCCCAGTTACACTTAAAACAATTCTATTTTGTATTTTTACATTGACAGTGTAATATATATATATATATATATATATATATATATAGTATTAAAGGGTTAGTTCACCCAAAAATGGAAATACTGTCAGTTATTACTCGCCCTCATGTTGTTCCAATAAGACTGTTTCTCTTTCAAGGTATGAACGAAACATGCGCTGTAGTGCTGTTTGTTCGCTGTCGGCTACGGTGGAAACATGACATCACATGCTGATCTTCATAGAAGGGCGTGCCTGCGATTATGTAGATATAAATGTCTAATTCTAAGGTAATAAAAACATAAAGGTTCATTGAGTAAGGCCTTTATACACCACTGAACACATAGTTATGGATCTTAAATTGTATTTCTGTCAATAGATAATCAGAAATACCACACATTGCACCTTTAAGTTTAACAAGCGACTAGAATACTTTTTGTGCGCAAAAACAAACTTTATTCGGCTATTCCTTTTCTTCCGTGTGGGCCTCTGACGAGAGTTCACTAGAGCGCCATAACATATGCACGATAACTGATAAGTTGACGCTCATGATCATTTGTTGTAAAGTGTGAAAGGTAAGCCATTTATTTTGAGGCATTAAAGTACTTTTATGTTTTCTTGTTGGTTTCTCACGATTCGGACATCCAGGAAATGCACACTTTAGAACAATTTTAAACACTACATCGAGACCCATCTGCGTCATCTTCTCAGTTCTCACGCATGCGTCGTGGCGCTCTTGTGAACTCACGTCAGAGGCCCACACAGAAGAAAAGGAATAGTTGAATAAAGTTTGTTTTTGCGCACAAAAAAATATTCTAGTCGCTTGATAAACTAGTCTATTCTAGTCGCTTAAGTAATCAATAACTACTGTTTTTTTTAATACTTCCCAGAGAACTACTGAAAAAGTTTATTAACAATCTAGTAACTACTATTAACTAAAAAAAACTCTTATTAACGAATTAGTAAGTAATAGCTCACAGATGAAAGTGTTACTAGATACTTCTGTGGGAATTACTAATTATTTGGATTCGTATTATAAAGTGAAGATCATTGGAACTAACTAGTAATTACTCAAGTATTACTTTTAGACATTTTCTAAAAGTTACTAAAGTTCACCAAAAAATCTCAAACATTTGCACAAATCATGACTAGATCATGTAG